AAAATCATCTATCTTTCTTACTTTCTTTTAGTTGTTTTTTTTATTTTTGAAATAAACATATTTTGTTCTGCTTTTACTTTTATTTCTTCAAGGATAACTGATAGTTTGTGTACTACATTGCATAATATATTTTTAATATCTATTTCACTTTTCAATGCTGTAAGAACTCTGTCCTCAGACAGTTCAGTATTTTTTGGTATTAATCTTGACAACCTATCAGCATTTCCTAATTTTTTTGATTGTTGGTATTCCATTGTGAAATCATAAGTTAATAAGATGGTGCCCTAGTGTTGTAATCTATTCACTCTATGCATAGGAATTCCTTTTTTCAAACTATAAATTGTTAATAGATGTCTGTGGTCTGTCTATAACCAAAAACTCCTTCCATGTATAAATTTGTGACCCTTTTTCACTTGAAATTTCACTTTGACTTTGGAACACTGACCCAACTCATCCAACAGAAGAACCAGAAAACATTTTTTCAATTTTTCCTTTAAATTTTCACACTGTTTTTTTTAAACTGGTATACTTGTCCACTTATATTTATGCAGTAAATATTTATAGGTAAATCCCACAACTCAAATAATTCCATCCAGTCAGTACCAAATAACTTTCTAGTATTTTTTATACACTTGTTACAAAATGAATCATTACAAGTCATTTCATCAATAAAATATAATTTCCTGCCTGACATGCCATTTGCGATTTTCCAAGTTCTTTTTAATGTAGGTTTTTCTGTTTGTTTTCCATATGGCTTCATTGATTGTGATATCATTACCAGTGTCTAGTTGCATTTTTACATCCATGTTATTAATTTTCACATACACAAATTGATCCAATGCTACAAATGGTACACTACATTTCGGTTTAAACACTGGTGTTGACCCTTTTTTCACTTGAAATTTCACTTTGACTTTGGAAGACTGAACCAACTCATCTAACAGAACATCCAGAAAAAAATTTTTTAAATTTTTCCTTTAAATTTTCATTTTTTTTTTTTAAACCGGTATACTTGTCTACTTACATTTTGCAGTAAATATTTATAGGTAAATCCCATGATTCAAACAATTCCATCCATTCAGTACCAAATAAGTTAGTACTATTTTTTAACACATAAGCTTTAGTGTTTACACACTTGTTACAAAAGGAAATGTTAACAAGCCATTTTCACCAATAAAAAATAATTTCTAATGTGCAATTTTCAAAGTTCTTTTTAATATAGGTATTCTGTTTGTTTTTGATGTGGCTTTGTTGATTATTGTGATATCACTATCAGTGTCTAATTGCATTTATACATCCACATTACTAATTTTCACATACACAAATTTTCTCAGGGTTCTTGATAAGATCCAGAGACGGATATGCAATATAATTGGCCTCGATCTGGCATCTCGTCTGCAGTCGCTTTCTTGCAGACGTGCTGTCGCCTCTCTGTCTTTTTTTACAAATACTTTCATGGTAATTGCTCTGATGAGCTGTTTTTGCTGGTTCCCAGACTTCACAAATTCAAGTGTCCTACAAGGCTGGCATCCTGTTCTCACCCTTTCACTGTTGAAACTGTTAAATGTAGCTGCCTCTTCTACTCCAATAGCTTCATATCTCACACCTCTTGCCTGTGAAACTCCCTTCCTTATTCCTGTTAGCTATAATCTCCAACTATTCAAATGTAACGTCAATTGACATCTCCAGTTGCCTTGATCTATCCACTATCCTTCTCCTCATCCTTTCCTCCATCATTCATACCTGCTCTCGCTCCAAATCCTCTTCCCACCTTGCTAGGGGTGCAATGCTTAAAAAAACAACAACAATGCTGTGTACATGATTTTTCCTTGCTTTAATTTTACAGAGTGACTTTGTATCTCCTACTTGCCTTTAGCTTGTATATATGCACATATTTTATTTCTTCAATTTCTTCCATATCATGTTTCAGATTTAGGATTCTCTGACATTCATCCGATATGTTTTGTAGTATGAGTTTTTGATTCTGCTCAAGTTTCATTACAATTCTTGCACATATTTCTGCATCTTTTTTCACCATTAACATTTGAATGAAAATTAACCCTTTAAACATATCCAGAGTTAGTTAGTTTAATACAAATCTTTCACACTCTTTGTTAACGATTCCAGCATATGTGACAAAATCTTTGTCTTCTCTTTTTGTCAGATACATACACTTTCAATGAGTATTGAATAACAAAATTTTACTTTGAATTTTTACTGTTTCTTCAAAGCAAATTTCTCCTGTTTTTTTCGAAAGTACAAAATTACAGTATTTTTCATGTTCTACTGGTGCTAACTTTCTCAACAAAAGTCTCGTTTTTTTCTTGTCTTCTCAGCTGCTGTAATCTTCTTGGAAAATTTGCTTGTATCTTCTAAAAGAAGCAGAAATGGTAATTCCATTATCTGAATTATATGTGAATTCTGTTATGAAATTTGCCATTGCAAAAGGAGTGATGGAATTTTCCATTTTCTTCTGCATTATTTCAATTAAATTTTGTTG